TGTCTGTTCAGGTCCTTGGCCCATTTGTTGATTGGGTTATTTGTTTTCTTTCAACAAGTACATGAAAAAATGCTCACAATCTCTAGCAGTCAGAGAAATGCAAATCAAAACCACCCTAAGATACCATCTCACTCCAGTAAGATTGGCAGCCTTTATGAAGTCAAACAACAACAAGTGATGGCAAGGATGTGGGGAAAAGGGGACACTTGTACATTGCTGGTGGGACTGCAAATTGGTGCGGCCAATTTGGAAAGCAGTATGGAGATTTCTTGGAAAGCTGGGAATGGAACCACCATTTGACCCAGCTATTCCCCTTCTCGGTCTATTCCCTAAAGACCTAAAAAAGAGCATACTACAGGGACACTGCTACATCGATGTTCATAGCAGCACAATTCATAATAGCAAGACTGTGGAACCAACCTAGATGCCCTTCAATAGACGAATGGATAAAAAAAAATGTGGCATTTATACACAATGGAGTATTACTCTACATTAAAAAATGACAAAATCATAGAATTTGCAGGGAAATGGATGGCATTAGAGCAGATTATGCTAAGTGAAGCTAGCCAATCCCTAAAAAACAAATGCCAAATGTCTTCTTTGATATAAGGAGAGTAACTAAGAACAGAGTAGGAAGGAAGAGCATGAGAAGAAGATTAACATTAAACAGGGATGAGAGGTGGGAGGGAAAGGGAGAGAGAAGGGAAATTGCATGGAAATGGAAGGAGACCCTCAGGGTTATACAAAATTACATACAAGAGGAAGTGAGGGGAAAGGGAGAAAAAAAAAAAAAACAAGGGGGAAAAATGAATTACAGTAGATGGGGTAGAGAGAGAAGAGGGGAGGGGAGGGGAGGGGGGATAGTAGAGGATAGGAAAGGCAGCAGAATACAACAGATACTAGTATGGCAATATGTAAATCAGTGGATGTGTAACCGATGTGATTCTGCAATCTGTATACGGGGTAAAAATGGGAGTTCATAACCCACTTGAATCAAAATGTGAAATATGATATATCAAGAACTATGTAATGTTTTGAACAACCAACAATAAAAATTATAAAAAATTTTAAAAAAGAATGTATTTTACAAAAAAGACATATAATGTAGATTATATGGGGTGTTCCCAAAGCCTGATATAGTTATAATTTGGCCCTTTGCCACAAAAGTTTGAGCCCTGTACTACATCAGAGTTCAACAGCTGCTTATAGACATCGCCAAATTCATTTTTAAAAATATATCTTGGGGCTGGGGATGTGGCTCAAGCGGTAGCGCGCTCGCCTGGCATGTGTGCGGCCCGGGTTCGATCCTCAGCACCACATACAAAGATGTTGTGTCCGCCGAAAACTAAAAAATAAACATTAAAAAAATTTCTCTCTCTCTCTCTCTCTCTCTCTCTCTCTCTCTCTCTCTCACTCTTTCTTTAAAAAAAAAAATATATATATCTTGATTATATTATTTGTGCCTAAGGAATTAACAATCAAGCTGGGCACAGTATAATCCCAGCTACTCAGGAGGCTGAGAAAGGAGAAACACAGATTCAGTGCCAGCCTGAGCAACTTAGTGAGGCCCTGTCTCAAAATAAAAAATAAAAAGGGTTAGGGACAGGCAGGGTAGTGCATACCTAAAATCCCAGTGTCTTGGGAGGCTAAGGCAGGAGGATCATGAGTTCAAAGGCAGCCTCAGCAAAAGCAACTCAGTGAGACCCCATCTCTAAATAAACTACAAAATAGGGCTGGGGATGTGACTCAGTGGCTGAGTGCCCCTGAGTTCAATTCCTGGTACAAAAAAGAAAAAGAAAAAGGGCTGGGATGTAGCCACTGGTAGAGTGTAACATCCTAGGATCAATCCTCAGCACCACAAAAAATAAAAATATAAAAAGAATTAACAATCAAATGTGAATTGAATTTAAGGCAACATTAAAATGCATATAAACACCATCTTAAAATGATTAGAGAAAACAAAATATAAGCAACATATGAAACTCTGTCAAAGACTTTTGAAAATCTGTACAATCTATTTAATGTTTGTACCTTATCTACAGGCTCCCCATACCCTCTAAGAACTCTAATTAGTAAAAAGCATTTGCTTGTTTGTATGCCAATTCTTTACTGTACTTCACTAATTTTATAAGCCAGCCAAATTCAAAAGGGTAATTTACTAACCTCCATGTCCAGAGCTACCTTTGAGTGACAATTATCACTGGAAATTTTCCAGAATTCTCTGGCACAAGACTATCTACTTGTCACATGTTACACTTGGAGGAGTGAATTCTCATTTCCAGATACTTCTAAACTCTTACACATTTAGCATATATACGACATTAAAAGTGATGCAACTGCTTATATTCAATTTACAAATATCCCTATTGGAGTCAATAACTATGATCTAAACTTAAAGATTAAAAAATAAAGCTCAAATGTTCCTATAAAAAGGCTATATATTGCCGGGTGCAGTGGTGCCCACTTGTCATCCCAGTGGCTCTGGAGGCTGAGGCAGGAGGATCATGAGTTCAAAGCCAGCCCCAACAAAAACAAGGTGCTAAGCAATTCAATGAGATCCTGTTTCTAAATAAAATACAACATAGGGCTGGGGATGTGGCTCAGTGGTCCAGAGCCCCTGAGTTCAATCCCAGTACCAAAAAAAAAAAACTATATACTATATTACACTGTCCTACCACAATGTCTATGTTCTATCTTACCACAATCTCTTCTTGTCATACCTAAGAACATTTTTACACCTTAATTAGGAGTGGATTTTACAACAAAACAAAACAAAGAAGACTTGCATTAACTATTGCAGTAGATGAGGTGCAGTTTCCTTTACATTTCTATATTCACTTTTTCTTATTGTAAGATTAATATGTGATCTCTGAAGAACATTTCATAAGTAGAGAAAACTTGGAGCATAAAAGTCACCTTTAATTCTACCAACCAGAATACTGTCTTAACTCTTTCCAGTATTTTTATAAATATATATAGATGTATGTATGTGCATATAAATATGTATACACAAAAAATTAGAATGGCAGCAGGTAAAGGATTATAACTACCATATTTTCTTCCTTAATGTTGTATCATGAATATCTTTTCTACATTAAAAATTTCATAAGAACATAATATTCAATCATATGGCTAAACCCTAATTGATTTAACTTATTTTTCACTACTCTTTGAAACATGTTTATATCTGCTTCAAGATGATTCCCCATAAGTAAAATTACTATAGCAAAAGGGTCCAACATTTTTAAAAATCCACAAACTGTCAAAACAGACTTCCAGAATTATCATGGCAACTTAGTTCATGATCGGTGTTCCTTTCATATTGCTGTCATTTTCAGGACCGTCTTGTCATGGCTTTAGAAGCCCTCACAAGGTGCTCTAGTGTGAACTTGCAACCACTGAGCTTCTTGATCAGTATCTGACCTTCAGAGTTTAAAGGGTTTCTTTTTTCCACTCAAATTTCCATTTTGAAAAGATGATTTTTTAATCTATCAGCGTTCTAGTCTTTAGCTTTAAGTTCTAAAGTAATAAAATGATGGACAATCTTGAATAAAATATTAAATAGTACTTAATTTATAATTTTTTTCTGAATTTCTAGTACAATACTCAAAAATAGTCTCAAAGATTGTAAGCTTCTAACCTTTATTTCTTCCCATTATTTGTGATTTATCATAATGTTCTTTCCTAAGGGAAGGACTCTATGATAATGTAAACAAAATGTAGGCATATAAATAATGTAAATAATGAACAAAATATAAGCCATTGCCCATTTTTTTACTAATGATTTCATTAGAACAGTCTATAAGTAGAATCAATAAAAGCCTTTTAAGAGCTCATAAGTGAAACATGATATAAACATGATAGAATAAAATTTCATAAAAATAAATTAGACTGACTTTGTACATGTACTTAATCCCGAGCTAGATACTTTTGAAAGTTAGATCATGCTTAACCTATAAAGTAAAAAGTTTTCACTTTTTCTTTTCTGCATATGTACTTAGTAAGTGTTGTGATTTAGATATGAGGTGTCCTGCAAAAGTTCCGGTTACTGCAAGAAGATTTAGAGGTAAAATGATTAATTTTTAAGAATGCGACCTTAGTAGTCCACCCTAGTTTGAATGGACCAAGTGACTGCATGCAAATGAGATTTTTTTTTAAATTCATACCCGCAGTGACGCATCTCCTCCAGCCACACCTACCTGCTTATAGTCACTAGTCCATTCAAACTAGGATGGATTGCTTAGGTAACAGCTCCCCTAATCTGATCATTTCATCTCTGAATAGACCTGCATTACTGGTGCTTTGGGGGGACACCTCATATCCAAATCATAACAGTAAGTGTTTAGAATCTATTAATAATATTAATCATAAGACAGTGATAAGACAGCTTGACAAAGAAAACTATGTTGGCTAGGTTATACTCAAAAGGAAAAATACTTATAAAAGATGATTTTTCCTAAAATAATCAAAAAAGCTTTTGATTTAAATACTTAGTCTTAACCTGTGGCACATGGGTAGAATATCAAGGATGTTGAAAGTAATCATAAACTGAGATAAAGCTGTTTTATCATCCATTTTTCAGAAGACCTAAATCATTTTATTCTTAATAACTTTAAAAATATGTGGTTTCCTTCCGTTTTTGAACATTTCTCATTGAGTGCTCGCTATGACTACATTCTCTGAAAGCTCTTAAGAACAGGGATTACAGATTTACGCGCAGCACATGGGAAAGAGCTGCCCCCTCGGAGAGGGATGCTCAGCAAGGCCTTGTAGAGATGGATGACATCTTTAACAGGGTTCCTGCCCTGACACACACACATCACAGCTATTGAAGACGGACAGAAAGCAGCTCTGCTATCTAGATAGATGCAGCTAATGAAGAACCACTACCTACTTCCTGTCTTCACTTTGGCACACCTCCATTTTAAAAATTAAAATACCACCCAAAGGGGAGATTAAAAGAAAAAAAAAGGAAAGAACATGCTTCTGAAGTAACTTACTTGCTGACTTCTTTATACTGGGCTATCTCCTCAATATAAAGAAGGTCATGCAACCGCGACTGATAGTTGGTCTTGGTCAATGATTTGTCTAAAACCGACTGGGTAAACAGCTGGTCAGCAGACAGAGGAATTTGGTATCTGATAAGAAGGCTCTTCTCCAAATCAGTAGTTTCATTAGGTTCAAAATCTATAATAGTCTTAGAAGAAGAATCCCAACGCTTAGCAGTGGTTACTAGCTGTTGTTTTGCATGCATCAGATATTCAAGATCTAAATGGAAACAAAAAACACATTTATAAAGGAACACAACATTAAAATTCACAAATAATACACATTTGGGTAAGAGAATTTAATAGACTACAGCTAAAATTCTTAAAAATAAAAGAATACAAAAACCCTTTGAGAGTACTTTCCCTAGTTCAGACATTTCTTTTGTCTATTTTAGCAAAAAAATATTAATAGGAATCTATGAAAAGAATATCTTTAAAAAAAAAAAACATAAGATTAGGACATACCACAAACAGTTGTTAACATTTTTAAAATGTAGATTAACACTTAGAACTTTTCAGTCAAGAGAAATCTGATCTGCAGGAAAAAGATGATAAATTCCTCATAAGATAATTTTATAAGGTATAATCACTTTCCTCCTCCTATCAATATCTGCCCTATTATAGAAAGAGAGATTAAAAAGCTGAAAAGTTAAATATTTTCTTATGTGGAAAAGCAGACACTATCTGAAAATCAACTTACTACAAACAAAAATCTTTTAGAAGACACACAAGTATAATACTACTGATTCCTCATCACAATGTGACACAATGCCATTCAAATGCCATTTCTGAAAAATCCAGTTTAGCCTCAGTTAAATTATTGGTAACTGTAGCACAGAATCAAAATGAATAACTGTTCAATCTTCTGACATCTCTGAAAGAAATGTGGATACAACCAGCACATCATAAGAAACTCAGAGTGTGCAGACCCCATGCTCAGTTTGCAGTATGCACAGATTTCTATTACCGGGTGAAAAGTACTTACACCTATAAAAACGAAACTTAACCAAAAGGAAAAAACTATTCCACTGACTAACTAGGCCAAAATCCAGTTTTAGTAAAACAAAATGGGAAAACAAGGTTTCACAGTTCAAATTAAAATTTGAGGAAGAAATAAAAAGTTCTGACAAAAGATCTGTGAGTCTCCAAAGCACAAAGATAAGTTATCCTAAAGGATCTATTAAATGAGAACATAGGCAAAAATTGGCATGTCTTGCTCAATGAGTGAGTGTGCAAATTTTAAATATTACATATACATTAAAAACATGTTAAGTATAGTCCTCCACTAAGAGAAATTTCTAAATTGTAGCAAATAGCAAATCCCTAACCTTTGTTCCCTTAAAAGTCATTTTTACATGACCGCTTCATAATTTCTTAAATGTCAACATAAACATAACAATCATCATCAAGAGGTAAAGATTATCTGCTCATTAAAAATCTGCATTTTAAAATGGCAATGCTGGGGTGGTGGCTCAGTGGTAGAGCACTTGCCTAGCATGTGTGAGGTACTGGGTTCAATCCTCAGCACCACATATAAATAAATAAATAAAGGTCCATCAACAACTAGTAAAAATATTTTCTAAAAAATAAAATGGATTGATACTCTGTTCTTGTAGTAGCCTCATAAGAAAGTTTCCTAAAGTTAGTCTTCTTCCTAAATCCTATCATCTTCCTAAAATTGAACACTACATTCACTCGTTAGAGCATAACTGCAAAAAGAAATTATACAAATGCCAACAATAAACAGATGATACCATCACTAAATGTCAGATGCTCATTATCATCATAAAAGGATGTCTGGATTTGCACTCATTTAATGACCTAACTTAATAGTGCTTAATGGTCAGTAGGTGCTAAGACTGTCTCTGTGAAGAGAGGGAGGGAGCCACGGGCATGGGACAGGGCCACTACTGAGCTCATTGTCATCCCCTCCTGCAGCACACGTGCACCCACTAGAAGAAACCTGGCCTGAGCCAGCTCCTCACGGGTGCGCACTTTTCTTCAATCTACATTAGGCTGAAATGGAAAACACTCTGGAAAGATGAAAGTGAACAAGTTAGGATCCAAATTCATAAAACCATACAGGGAGAGTTTAACACTGACTTATTAACCAATTCCTATCACAATAAATCCCAAATCTCACAGAAATTACAATCTAAAGAATTTCTTCCCCTGAGATACAGTAAGCAGAAACTATAAATATATTTTAAGAGAAATCCATAAGGAAAACTTACAAAGATAATTATAATATATCTAAAGTTTTGAAGATACCTTAAGGGAAGGGCTTCCACTATCAAAAACAGAATTCAAGATTGGAATATCTAGTCTGACACTTCCCAACTTCCCTAGCTCTTCTGATACTGAGAATAGCAGCTGGCTCTCCTCTCAGCCACAAAGTTGCTATTCCAAGATAGCATCCAAGGTTTACTTTGTTTTGAAGTATGTATTGCAGCCAACTTAAAATGTAACTTTAACAGGGCTTGGAGAGTGGGTAGGAAGACAGTAAGGGGGAAAAAAATCCCGTGTTCTAAGTAGCCATCACAAGAGCAAACACACAAGAGGCATGTGATGAGTGGGTTTTAAATATGAAATTTATTAAAAACAGCTGCTTTTATCTGGGACTTGTAGATAAAATTAAATGCTTCCTAATTCCAAAATCAGAAAATAAGACTCTTGCTTAGAAAGTATTTTGGTCTGTAATCTGACAAACCTTGACTGCTCAACTTTACAATAGAATAAAATTCGAGTAATCACCAGCTGCCACTTCCACTGTGTTCCAATATCCTTCCTTTGCTACCTAGAATCAAGAGGACTATCTCTTTTTCTCCTTTAATGCTACAGGGGATGAAACCCAGGGCCTCACACATGCAGGCAACGGGCTCCACCACTAAGTTTACTTCCCCAGCCCTATTTTTGCTCTCTTAATGAGGCTAACAAAAAGTTAAAACAGCAGAGTGACAGCAGAAGTAATTCATACTCTGTGCACACTTACACTCTGTTCCGTTTATCTTTTATTAACAAACTATTTTTTAAAACCTATTTTTCTCCTGTTTTTCTAATCATATTATATAGAGACAGGTACAAAAATATGTTCTTAATTTACCAACAACTTTGGCAGTTGGGAATAATATTTCAATCACACTAAATTTTATGTTAATGTTAACATATCATGCTGTACTCATAGTAGAAAAATGTATAATATCAAGTTTTCAGATTTAAAGACAAGAGTTACTTTCAACATGTTGCTTCCACATATTCAAAACACAATTCCAAATCAGTACTTTCAAGCACAAGTTTTCTTCCATCAATCAAACTGTGGTAGGAAGTATACACTGAGTTTACTTTGTAAGTAAGGGGAAAACTCACTAACTTCCTTTCCTTGTGGATGTCTTTTGCTGCACATTTTTGAGAGGAATATATTTAATTTTAGTCCAAAAAAAATTTTTAATAGTGTTTTTTCTGAACCTGAATCTCACCAACAAGGAAAAAACTTGGGGGAAAAAAAGGTTAAGGTTATATGTATTTACTCTCTACGATATGTTGACTAGAGGGGGGAAAAAATCCAAATATACTCTACAAAAGAAAAGGTCTGGATGCTTTAGATATCATGAAAACAAGGCTGGGGGTATAGCCCAGTGGCAGATACTTGCCTTGCAAACATGAGGCCCAGGGTTCAATCCCCACAACTGTTTGGGGGGAGGCACGGGTGTATATTATGACAAAAATAAAAAACAAAAAACTATAGGTTTCCCTCAGCTCAAACTGGAATTAACTAAAGTAAGGAGGATTTTTAATTCAATACTAGAAAATTCATTCCAGTCTGCTATATAACTTGATTTTAAGTTTCAATGAGGAATACACTAATATACCTAAATCAGTTTGACAAACACTGAGAGCCTTTAAATCACTGAGGCGCACTGTTGAGTCCAAAAGGGAAGGAGTGCATGCAGCATTTCCACACTTATTTGTACACAGAACTCTTCACCATAGGTGTTATCATTCATTCCAATGAACACAGTCTAGGAAACCCTGAGTTAACAGATGGCCCAGCATGGTCCAAATTTATAATTTTATGGAAAAGAACTATGTTTCCATCATTAGTTTAAGAATTAAAAACTTTGCTTCAACATTGAACAGTCAAGTGAAAAACATGATAAAGGTATTTCCCATACAAATTCCAGTTTTATAGCTTCACCCTCAAAATTTCTTTCTGTATACAGAAATCAAATTACATTATAACTTATAATCAAAACTGTATAAACATGACAAAGCTCAGATCTAATTAAATTCCCACTGTATTTGGCTGACTGTACCTGAAAGGAGACTTTTTCTCCTAACTGGAAACCAAGAAACATCCAAGAATGCCTTGGTGGAAACAAGAGGTCAAATGAGCCAGGCTGTCACACTGTCACCAACTTAACAAAGCAGTCATTTTGTTCTCAATGTCCATGAATGCTATCCATACAGTATTCCAGGAAATGATACAAAATGTGGCATTGCCACTTTATATTTTTATTGTCTCAGAATGTTTATAAAATTGTAAATGTACATAAACAATTATTTGTCCTCAAATTTTTTGCTGACAAGAACTCTGCTCTGCTAATAAAAAATACAGACTTAAGCTACTAAGATTAAAAAACAGGAGAAACATATTATATATTTATATCTTGCTTTGTTTCTCCAAAATTCTGTTAGAACTCTATATACAAATACACTGAAACAAATGTAGTGATGCAATTTAAAACTTCAGGAATGTAACAAAAAATGGTAACATTCAATAGCATCAACTTTAAGAGTAGGGACCTTTATCAAAGACACAACTACACAACTAAAACCAGCACAACACATCAGCTAATATGAGTAACAACCCAAGAAAGGCAGTCAAATGTCATCTGATCTAAATCTACATATAGGTTTTTCCTTTTATAATGTTCAAAATCTTATATCAAAAGCTCTGTTTGTACATTTTATATTATTCCTTTGTAATATTCATTTTTCCTCAGTCCTTGAAAACCAAATTTCACTTTGTGAAATTATTTCAATATATCTAAAATTCAAGAAAATACCTAATTTTTTTTTCAATTACTTCTTGAAATAACTACTTGAAAGTAAAGTCTTACTTAATAGGCAAAGATATCAAACTACATACAAAGAGGTCACCCAAAAGTAGATACAGCACCTATATTGTAAAAAGTAGGGAAAGAGAATATCCTTGTATTCACTCCCTCTACCATATCTTAATAAAACATAAAATTTATCATATTTAAAAACTGATATATCAGGAACATCAGAAAGAAAACTGTTTCTTACAGTTAACTGACTCAAAATATTAGTCCTGGGCAACTCTTTCAAGCCCTACAGTGTGCTCTCCAGCCCAGGAGATACGCAGGTGCCATGGTCTTAACAGCTCTGCTCTTTCTCTCTGCTTTTCTGTTCCTCTGTTAGCCCCATGCACCCAATCCCCAATTAAAAAACAAAGTTCCCTCTCTCTTTTTCTACTTTCTTCATTCTGAGTACAAGCCAGAAATTATCCTAATCATGGCTCGTGGTAAAAATAAGAACTGTTTACTAAATGTCAGATCCTGTGCCAGGCTTATTTCTAGTCCTCACAATTCTCTACAAGACAAATAACCACAGGCTCCCTTTTATATGTTTCAGCATGAAGCTCAGAACTGGTGGGTACTCTCCCGAGGGCCATTCAGGTAATGAGTAGAAAATCAGCATTCAAATCCAACTGTTACTTCACTCTAAACTTTGTCCACTGCTCTTTTTTTCCAATTAGAAAAGTAGCACATATCTGGCCGGGTGTGGTGGCACCCACCTGTAATTCCAGCGGCTCAGGAGGCTGAGGCAGGAGGACTGCAAGTTCAAAGCCAGCCTCAGTCAGCAACAGAGAGACACTAAGCAACTCAGTGAGACCCTGTCTCTAAATAAAATACAAAATAGGACTGGGGATGTGGCTTGGTGGCCAAGTGTCCCTGAGTTCAATCCCCAGTACCAAAAAAAAAAAGGAAAGAAAGAAAAGTAGCACATACAGGAGGCAAAACAGTCAAAGTACTATTCCCAAGCCCATGAAAGACCCTGCAATCCTCCTCATCACCACTTTTCTCACTGGCATCTGTTTAAATAGTATCATTTTCTTTTACTTTTCACTACAGACATTTAACATTTTATGTTATGAACAACATATTAACTAGTGTGGATTCTTGACAACACTTGAAACCCTATACTTATGGGAAAATAAGTTGTGAGTTTGAAATCACCAATATAAAAGCAAACTTTTAAAATACAACCTACACGTTTTTTAAAAAAAAAAAAATATCCCTTTATAGTTACATTTGCGAGTAGGGGTTGCCCGTTGGTCTCTTTTTATGATTTATGTCTCCTCAGGATTTAAAAGGAGTGCTTCCTGTAGTCCTGAAGTTCTGGTTCTGAAAGCAACTTTCTAGTAGAGAGGTAGGCAAACTACAGCATACAAGCCAAATTTAGCCCACTGTTATTGGTGAAAATTAAATGTATTGGAACAGTCACCCCATTTGTGTATTGTCTATGACTGCTTTTGCACTACAATGCAACAGAAATCATCTGCCCTGTAACACCTAAATGACAACGTCTAATCCGTTGCAAAAATAATCTGCCAAATCTATGCTTCTATTTTTATTTGATAAACTACCATCATTTATTTGGCTATGAATATAGCTTATGCTGATTCCCAAGACTATTGAAAATATGACAGAAATACATATAACCAGAACAAAAACAGGTAAAAGGAATCAAATAAGTGGGAAACATGGGTAAAACGAAGCCTAGGTCATCTTAGCAAGCACATGAGAAGATAACACCAAATGGTAAAATTCAGCCAAAAATGTTTCTTTAACCTCATCTAGAAGCAAAAGGAGAGGAAGACAGATCAATTCTACTTTTTCAGTGTCCAAAATAAAATCCTAGTATTTGCTCATGAAGAGGTCACTCTCTGGGTTCACGTGAGCGGGGCACTATGGTACACAGTGAAAAACCATCCTCCACATTATGGTTAATTACACTCAATACAATAGTGAGTTTCATACAGCTGTGTTATTTGAAGAGATACTAAATAAATATTTAGTGTTAAATAAAACAAAGCACCTATAAATCCAACCAAAAGCTACAGAAGTATGGACTAATGTGCCCTTCCCCTGTCCTATTAGATCTAGGCATAAAATTTAGGCTAAGCAATAACACGACTACATACAAAGTAATTCACCATCTTCTGCCGGTATTACATAGTAAAACCAAGGGGCTCTCCCCCAAACCACAGAGTAGATCCTATTGAAGGCACTCTGGTCTCCTAACACTAGTGAATGTGCAAGCTGACTTCTGAAGGTTTATACAGGAGGACTTTTCATTAAGAGATAATGGACTATAACACCAGCAAAGCTTCCTGGACAGTGAGCAGAACACGGAACTCGACACTGCAGGTGTTCACATGACTGCCATTAAAATGATATTCTACCCACACTCATATTAAAAAGATTTTACTGTGCTAAAACTTATCTTACTTAAAAATAAAATTATAAACCATCAAAACAGACCTGATCAACTACTCAGACAAGTTTAGGGAACCTCAAAGCAATGGTTGCTCAGTGACTGAATGAGGAGCAGGGAACAGTGTGAACCATTCTAAAGAAGAACCATTATGCACGAAATGAGCCAATCCACTCGGATTTTTTTCTTATCATTCCCTCCCTATCCAGGGAATATTTAGGGGCCAATACATATCTTTTACTTTTGCCTTTTAATACATCGTATCAGGGAAAAAAGTCTAAATATTACCTTCTGTAGAAGCTGCATCAATCATTACTCTTTGCATGAGTACTGGTTCCAATCCAAAGTCGAAAACTATGGTTTGGCGAAAAGTTCCAAATATTTCTGTGTTAAATGCTATCCCGACTTTATACACGTAATGATCTAATCCATTTTGGGCCATCTTTCCTCCTATCCATTCTTGACAGTTTTCTGGGACTTCTTGTGATACCTGGGTAGTACTATCTCCGGCAGATATTGCAATGATACTAAAATGAGGACGATGAGCATCATAAAGCAATGCTACACGATACAGCATTCTTGCAGGCTACAAGGAAGTTAAAATAATGCATTGAGTACAAGGGGGTGAAAAATCCAATTGTAATTGGGCTCTTCAACGAAAATATTTCCATAAGGGACTGTTACTTTCCCATGCTTCTAAGATACTATGCTCAAAATACAAACTGCTCATAAGTGATTTAAGAAAAAGTCAGAATGGTTAAAAAAAACAGTTGTTAAAATGATATATTTATGCTACATCACTAGCTCCCTGCTTCTTCTGTGATATGTTCGTCTTTCACTGGACAAAAATCTATCTCCTCCTGTCACCCTTGACCTCCAACTTTCCATACTCTTTGCCTAAAAAAGTTTTATGTAGCCTCAAATAGGAAGCCTTCATAAGAGGGCAATTACCTCTGAAAGCCCTGGATTGGGTTCAGGGCTGAAGCTAAATGTTCTTAGCTTTTTCATCTCAAGATACAGATGATACAGTGGAAGAAACACCACCAAAAAGAACACAAAACTTTTCCACTGAACATAGTCACAGAAATTTTTGACTCTGCTTCAATCTTAAACTTTATTATAGTTTAAGATAAGAAACACTACAGAAAAGTCTCATATTTAAAACTGTATTACAGAATTTGCAATCTCTTCAAATCAAATAGAAAAACAAGTTATTTAAAAATCTTAAAACTGCCAGATTAAACAATTCAATTTTTGAATAGTTAATTTATAAGCCATGAACCCCATCCTACATTTCAGTTTTGTAAGATAATATGGCAAATACTTCTTTACCAAATAAATAGGAAAGAATCCTAAATAACTATACAGATTGTATCTCAAAGTCAAAATAAACTGTACTTTTAATGACTGAAATACAGAACTCCACTTTAGCACAATATAGACCCTACATGAGATGTACTTAGATTAAAACATTTTTAGTGCTCTCTTAACACAGAGATTAAAAGGTCCAAAAAAGCTTGAAGAAAACTTGACAAAACTTATATTCTTAAATGAGCACAAAACTCATACCTTACAAGTGAGAGCAAAGGTCCATGTCTGGTGAGACTTTTTGGTGTTGACAGTAACCGACAGGTCAGGACTATGCTCCACCTTTACTCCTTCTATACATTCACTAAGCTGAAAATAAAGAGAATTGATCTTATGGTTTTTATCACTAAAAACACAAATTAAAATTTTAGCATGATAAATAAAAATCAACAGTAAAGACACTGATGGAATTGTTTATCAAGCAAGGTATTTTATACATTAACTTTCAGTTATTTTTATAAGAACAAATATAATAGAGCTAATATCAAAAATAAATTAACCAAAACAAGTGATCAAAACTGCCTAAAACAAGGTAATTAATACAACACCTGCAATTCTCTAAGCAAATAGTTTAATGTTGGCCTTAATTTAACAAATGAATCTACTTCTGCTACTAAAAGCATCATTTTATCAGGAATCAAGTTGTTCATATAATAGAAAAAGAAATAAACCAAAACACAGCATACAAAAAAGTCAAGATTCAAACAAGTTCATTGTTTAAGAAAGTCAAAAAAAAAAAAGGTAGTTTATTTTCCTCACCACTTTCTCAGGAGATAATGAATTCATCCACTTTTCTATCAAGGTTTCCATGTAACTGCCTGAGAGCTGTTTATTCTCATTTTGTTGTTTCAATTTTATCAACCGTGAAGCATATCTTTTCTGCCATTCTGCTAGTTCTTCCTGGGAATGTGCTGAAGTACACTGGGCACCATACCTACAGATTCCTTGCTCTAAAAATCTAAGTGGAACAGGAAAGACTGTTTTATCATACACTTTGTTTAACCATTAAAGATAAACCTGCAGCATTTGCCCTCTGCCTCCTCAAGAACAAAAACAAAACATCTTCTGGAAAGCCATACTTATCACACTGCAAAGGAGGCAGAAGAGGTCTGAAGAACTATAGAACATTTATAACAATCAAAACACCAACCCCACATTCACTGACTTCTTTCTCTGGAAAAGGGACCCTAAACCACAGTATAGTCACAACCCCTCCCCCCAAAAGACACCAAAAAGTCACTTCCTTGGTGATACAAGAGCTCTACTGGATAATTCCTCTAAGGGGTTTTTTTTTGTTTTTTTTTTAAGCAACACTGACATCAAGTGGATTAGCTGCTCACACACAGGTAAGCTGTACTTCCCAAAACTATATGACCTAAAGAAAATGTTCCATATACTAGGAATTGCATTCTGAAACAAATTAATATGGTATTAAATTATCATTGTAAGGCTACTGCTTTTCACCTTCAAATATAATAGTTTTACTCTATTTATATAAAACTATTACCTATACTTCACTGAAAACATTGGACGGTATTAATTTAAGTTTCAAATAAATTCAGGACAAGAGTTTTATATTACAGAGTCCCAAATTTATTCAATAGTCATATTCAATTCTTCAAAGGGTAAATAAATAAATGTTCACTTTAAAGGATACAAGAGTTACTGATTTTTCAGTGTTTGACTTGGAACACTAGGGTGACTTCAGCTAACAATAATATAGTATATATTCCATAAAGCTAGAAGATTTTTGAGTGTTCTAACTACAAAGAAATGATAAATGTTTAAGTTAATGAATATGCTAACCACACTGATTTGATCGCTACACAATGAATGAATGCAAACATCAAACTATCATATTGTACCCCATAAATATTTATGCTCAATTATGTGTCAACCAAAGACAATTTAAAAAGAAATCAATTGATAATTTTGTGGTCAAAAACATAAAAAGGGCTTTGACCATTAATTTTTTTTAAAAAAAAGTTTCAAATATACTACAAAATGATGGGTAAAGCCAGTTTTTAAATCAATGAAAATATTTAAAAATTGATAGATCTTTGAGAGGAAATAAAATGAAAATTAATCTATAAATAGCAAAACAGAAACAAGAGAGATATTATAAATAATTTTCAACTCTAGCTGGAAAGAAATACAAAATGAACCACAGCATAGCATAAGTCTTCCAGTGGCTCACCACACTGGAAAGCTGAGTGTATCTACAGCTTCTCCTATACAACAAAGCATTTGAACTTAAAATTATGCTGTTATTAAATTATTTTATGCTTCAAAAGACACATTTAAAATCATATATTTATGTATCATTTAAGCATAGCATGTTTTCATGAGCCAAAAATTTCTTTGTCATTGTATGCTTTGCTTTAAAGTATTATTTTTCCCTAAAAGAAGGAAGGTTTTCTGTTCTCATCTGGACTATAAATTTTTCCTTCCCATAGGACTATATGCAATCTGTCCTACAATACAATGCCACTAGGATTTTCAATATTTACTATTTAGTTTCTTTATTTCTACTGCAAAATCAAATCTGATATCTTGACTAGTCAATCATCAAACCACGTATCAGGTTTTCTTAATATCAAAAACAATTTCTATCTAAAATTCTACTAGTACCCCATTCTCATAAAAAGAACTGAAAAGTTCACCTTTTTAAATGTGACTTTAATAAATTCCTTTTACATGAATATGTAATTACTCAATTTTGAAAGGTTAGCCCTTCAAATATAAATTACTCAATATAATTCTATATAAGGATTACATAATTTTTTTTCAGAAAAGTTATTAATATAATTTAATATATCTTTATTTTATGTTCTACTTTAGTTTATGAAAAGCAATTTGAATTTCAATCACCTTAGCTAAGTAAATTTCATGTTTATAAGAGACCAGCAATTAAGCTCAACCATAATAATACAACTGGCCTCATAAAAGACTTTGGAACAGTCTTAACAACCTGCATTTAGATCATTGTTGTTTGTAATTAAAAGTAGGCTCATGGATATGATTTTGACTTTAATGACAATGACCTTTGTGGCTTCTATTTCATATGGAAAATAAACCATTTTACTCAATCATTATACTTTTTCTTCCTTCACTATTATCCTCTTTGAATTTGAATTATTACTTTCCAAAAAGAAAGGAAAATAGTCTATCCTTTCAACAAAGACAAGTAATTGATTAAAAAAAAAAAAAAATTTCACATTACCTTTTACACAAAGTATATTCCTCGCTGCTTGTGATTCCCCTAGGTGGTGGGCGGAAATGCCAACCATTACAAGACCCTAGGGAGTAATCAGGATATAATCTTATCATTTGAGGCTACCTAATAATTCTGACATTTTAATGTGTAAGAAACACTACAATCCCTCCACACACATCATCCCAGATGATGTAAATAGGACATGACATACTAGCTTCTACCAAAATGTAACCTACCAATCAACTGAGCTAAATCAACTAGGTGAAACAAAAAAACCACTGAAGAGGCAGTTAACTTAAGCAAGTTGGTGGTCCTGGCCCTGTCCTATAAACTGGTGGACCTGTATCAGTGCAATCTCTTCCCTAAGAACCAGGGGAGGCGTTTGGCATGCTTGTCATTTCTTAAGCATGAGATGTCGACCAGGAATTCCTTTAGGAAGGAAAAAAATGGTTTTATCAAGGAAATCTTACATAACAAATTCCACTACTGCACTCTGAGTAAGAAGCTCCACATCATCATTCATGTTCCTTGGGATTTGTCTGACACATGTCACTGTATGCTGTAACCCTCTTTTATAACTGAAATAAAATTTTAAAAGTTTATTTCTGAGATAGGAGCCAAAACACAAAATTCATTTAATTCTGAGTATAATGAACTTCAATTTTAGATGAGGTTCCAAATAAGCCAATGAAAATGAAACTTAAGAAGAAAAACAACAGCTTGAGGCTAAGCAGCCATTTTCTACTTCCTCCCATGTCACTGTGCCTCCCACTACAGGGGGTTAAAAATTCAGCCAAGTTAAATTTAAAGATATGCTTCATCCCTTACTACCAGGGTGACTTTGGGGAAAGTACTAAACCTTAACAAATATCCACTTCATCACCTATCAAAAAGATAGAGAAGGACCCTAAGAAGTCAGCATTGTTCTATGAAAGACAGCATGTGGCAAACACCAATTAATGTTGGTCTCTCTTCCCTTTCCTCTGGTAAATGGAGAGGGAAGGCTTAATTAGACAGGAATAACTCAGTTTACAGATCAGAACTTTAAAAAAATAATAATAATAATGATTATACTAGCCAATGGGAGAGGGAGAGAAGGAAGAGAAGAGATGAAGAGGAGGAGAGCTAAGGATGAGCTTTAAATTTAGTCCTATACAGAGGCAAGAGGATGAACTAAATGACCTCTAGTGTTGTTACCTTCTACCTCCACTCTGCCCCATTCATCTATAAAAGGGTGTCAAGGAGAAAATGGCTTTCATCCACAACTATTTCTCAAATGTTTATATTCTTTCATACATCTCCACTTACATGTACCATAACTCAGTAAATTTCCTCCCAATAATCAATTAAAAAAAAAAAAAAAAAAAAAGCCCAGATTCACAGCTATCAAAAGTTACACAAGATTTGGTACTTACCTTCATCAAAGTCTTCCACATGATATCCAGAGAGGACGTTACTAGTTGCTGTCTGCAATTTTTCAAATGAAAGACATGTAAGACAAACAAGAAATAACAAGTTGATGCTGAATTAAATTTGGATATTTCTAACATAAAAAAGTAGAGTTTGAATACTTAAAAAATATTTAATAACACTAGTATGTTGCAAGGGATATTTTGTGCTCTTTGTTCTATGTTCAACTATAATAAAATATGGAAAAGAAGCACTTGTCAGGCCCTCTTTCAGGAACTGATAGAGAACTCCCCATAAGAATACACCTGGTAGCAGAAGAAAAAAGTCTGTTCTGAACTGAATGGGGGTAGCACCTCCCATCCATTTGTTCATTTCCCTCTCTGTCATCATACCTATAACATGAGGGAGGTATGTTTTCTCCCATAGCTAATGGCATGCTACAACCTCCAGGCCTTGAAGCAGTCTCTACCAAGTTCCCCTCAATCTGGGATAAACCCTTCTTTCACAATGAAGTCAAAAGCTGGGGATCCACTCACTCTAACTGCCTTAGATAAATGTCAAATTAGTATTTGGGGCTCTAACTTTACCCTAAGCTCCACAATCTCAATTTTGAACAAGTGCCACCTAGTGCACTTTTTAAAAAATTATTCTGCAGCCTCTTGCATGCTGGATCATTCCCAGCTAAGTACAGATTTGCTGTCAACAGTATACAACTGCCTTTCTGCATTCCCATACCTCCCAGGGTACTGGCACATAATGAGTAGTCAATAAAATGCTAGGTGGGCAGGTGATCACCTAAGCACTTCAAACACAAAACAAAACTCATCAACTTTACCCTAAACCTGAACCTCCCTCCCACACTTCCAATGCTCTTTATCTCAAGTTAATGTAGTCTTCCTTCCCAAAGAAAGTCAGACTGAAATTTTAAAAGCCATCTTAAACACTTCCCTCTTCTATCGTGAGTATCCTCCAAATCTTGCCCAAGCAGATCTAGAATGTCTCTCATATCTGTCCACCATCCTACCACCTGTCTCTTCTGTCCCTGAACCAACTGACTATGTGCCAATTACACTGTACCAAGTTACTTCTGGGTCTTTACTTAGATGTCCTCATCCTATAAATTCAGTAACTATGCTCTGCTCTGCTCTGCAGTGTTCACCTCTCCTCTCCCTGCTTATGTTTCCATCACCACATACGTCTTCAAATGGCTCTCTAGAGAGCTTTCCACACACAGTTCAGCCGTCCAGAGCCTTGAGTAGTCCAAGTAATTGTTAAAGCGAATCAAAAGCAGGAAACTCAGTATCCTAAGATGAAATTTGGAATGTCTTACAGAAAGAATATAATGTCATAAATGTCAAATGGCTGCAATAATAATGTCATTGTCCTTTATATGTGGTTAATCAAATTGAAGATTTTAGCTTGGGCTAGAACAAAATCACTGTAATACTGTTTCTACAGAAAAGGGCCTTCTGATTTTCCACCAACCTACTTACTAATCAGGTTCTAAAGATAAACCATTTTTTTGTAAAATGAGAAACTGAATATAAAAATACACAAACAGTAAAACAGGAATGAAATTATTATTATACACACTATTATATGTTTATTAAAAAAGACACACAAAAAAATCTCTTTAAATTTTATAAGCCAGGTCTATGTGTACCCCTACTAACTCTTAAAATATGACTCTATTTAATAGAACATATAAATATAAAAGCTAAACAACTCGCTTCAAGCATAAAAAAATTTAACGCATATTCTTTTTTTAAGGGGGAATCATTATTAATTTAAAAATTTGGTTACAACCAATTTTATTGGCATTAAATTAGAGGTATTTTAAATTTGAATAATGGCTATTTACCAAAACTCGGAAACAGGCAAAAATGGAAATAGTTTTCCAATAATTACAGATCAGAAGCCAGAAATCAATTTAAGAAAATACAGACAAACCCTATGTTTACAATGATTGTGATGGAGATTTAAAGTTCAGTAGTGCATTAGCAAACTTCACATTTAAATCAAACTTTGAGATTTGACAGCTGTTTCTTGAAAAAAATCTCAGTATCTTGTGTTAATAAATCAGTTTTCCATGTGCCTTAGCACACTCCACGGTATATATACAAAACACCATGTTGGCAATTAAGACCTTTTCTTTAAAACTTATCAAAATTAGCTTACCAAATGCATAAGAGAAACAATGGCAATGAAATGTTTGGACCATCAAATAAATCTAAAACATTTACAACTGTTGGAAGGGACAAACACATGGTGCATTCCATGTAGCATCAGGGATGACTGTGAGCCAGCAGTTGAGTCTGTGCTGATACAACAGGTCTCAACCAGTGCTCATGGGTGAAGTGGACATCCTCACCAGGAGCCTGGCTGACAACTGGCTCTTCTGTCTTTTAGGTTCCAAGGTTTCATTTTTGTTTTTAAGTGCTCAGACCCCAAAACAGATGGGTAATTATCTGTTAGTTTATGATATTCAGTCTTTACTGACACCTTCAGGGAAAAAAGCCACAGATTACACTGCTACACCTCTTTCAAATTCACATTCATATCTATTGATTAGACACTTCATACTTCACTAAGGAATGTTTATCGTTTTTGTTTTTATGAATCAGGCTTTTGGTCCAAGTATTGATCCTCATCCACTAACATTTACAAGTTAAATAACAGCTCAGTTCAATCTTTAAATAACAAATTACTGTCACTTCTAAATTTGTTGCGTGTACATTAGTAAGGGAAGCAGGGTGCGTTAGTTTTTCCAAGATGGATTTTTTTTTTTAAATATTATCAGTTCACTAACCAAAAAGAATATTATTCTGTTCACATAGAAATTACAAACAAAACTTAAGTCACTTCTTCTAATGGTATAATCATAAAATAAAGAAGCAAGTAGTATTTGTGTCCTTACATGTAACAGGATTATAAACATTAAAAGTAAAAATTATTTTGCTCTTTTGGTCTGGGGATTGAACCCAGAGGTGCTTTACCACTGAAGTACATCTCACGCCCCCCCCCCTTTTTTTTAGTTGTAGTTGGACACAATACCTTCATTTCATTTATTCATTTTTATGTGGTAATGAGGATCGAACCAGCACCTTGCATGTGCTAGGCTAGCACTCTACCACTGAGCCACAACCTAGTCTCCAGCTCTTTTATTTATTTATTTTTGAGACAGAGTCTTACTAAGTTTGAGGCTGACCTCAAACTTGCAATTTTCCTGTCTCACATCTCCCACGTCACTGGAATTACAGGCATACACTACCATACCTGGCTTAAAAATAAAAATTTTAAGGTATGTGTGTGTCATTACCAGGTTTATAAAGCTATTAATTCAGTTAAGGCAATGAAAGGGAAGAGCAAATTCAAAAATCTTGATAAAATGAAAGGTCATTTTATTTTATATTCTTAAAGTCTCAAACATTTATAACTGTTTTGTTATTTCTTAGAAATTAAAGACTTACACATATACAAGAAAGGAAATGGCTTTGAAATTAATGAGACCTTAGTGATTCTTGATTAATTCATAATACGGTAACATAAGACAAAGAAAATGACTTTAAAAAAAAAAAAGATCTGATAATAGCAGAACAGTTCTTCATTCAGTTTTTATAATCCTTAACTGTTTTCTTTGTTGGCTGTTAGTTTTAGCTGGGATGTGTTATTAGATTTGCAATGAGAAAGGAAATCACGGGAGGTCTAGGCTGGTACCCAAGTCTCTGCCTCACCCTCTCCCCTAGCTGTAGCACCCTCCTGGAGACCAACAGCTTCTCGACTCTCAGCTTAACTGTCTCAGTTCCTGGCCACCTGATCCAGTGATTCTTTCTCCAGCAGAAAAGCTAATTCTTTTCCCTTGATATGAAATGTGCCTACAACTATTTGATTAATTCATTTATTGTCTATCTCTTCCCCAAGACTTTAACTTCCCAGACAGCAAGGACCAGGGGTGTCTTGTTTAAGGCTATATCCCCAGCACCAAGCATAGTACTTAGCACATAGCAGGTGCTCAATTCCTTAAAAAAAAAGGCAAATCAAATAATCACCTTACATGGGCTTCCACTTATGATAAAAGCTGACAAAATGGCTCTTTTTAAAACAGGACATTTAATAAAAAATTTTTTTATATATATTGGATGAGGAATAAAAATGTGGGATTAATAAAACTATGTGCCTTTTACATGCCATTATTGTCCCTGTCAACAACAGGGACAACAAGTCCTTCACTGTTTCCAGTCCTTCACTGGAGCACATTTTTTGTTCACCATTTACTTTGATACACATAATTTCTGTCTCCTAAACCCATTCCCTAAAAAAAATCCAAAAGTCACAGAATTTCTTTGCTTTTAGCATATGGAATATCTTATTTTGTTTTTATATTATCACATTTTTTAATGATAGCATTTTCTAACAGCCAGAAGTACTTAAAAATTAAAATTTCCCAAACATCTCTTCTATTTGGCAGCCAGACAACCAATAAGAATTAGGAACAGAACAGAAGACCTGGGATGCAGAGAAGACATAAGAAGAAGCAACATTCCTAGGACAGGACTCAACTGGGTCACAGGGGAGACGGAAGGTCCCACTGTTCACTTTTGTAGCCCTGCCTGCTTGGCTGATGCCACAGTGATTTTTCAAATTTTAACACCCAATGCTCACCATACACTCAGAGTCAGACTCTTCCAAAGAGACTTCCTGAAGCCAACTTACCTCTGTTTCCATGAGAAGAGTTTTTAATCTTGTCAAATCTTTTGTTACCATCCCATTCTAAAAGGGTGAAATAAAAAAGAGAAAACAAATTACAAGATGAGTTTTCTGTTTTCTTTTTCTTTTGTTTGGTTGATTGGTTGTTTGTTTGTTTGTAGTGCTGAGGATTGAACCTAGGGCCTCACACACACCAAGAAAGCACTCCACTGTTGAGACACAGTCAAATCAGAATATTCATTCTTTACTATAGCAACTGAGCTCTGCATTCCTCCATCATTTCGGAAGTTTATCTTTAAAAAACAAAATTATCCTCATCCCTGGATCTGATTACCACTAATGCTGGTAATAGAACTACACATGTATGGGGAAAGGTTAAAACGGTTAACAGGACTGGGCTGGGGCTGTAGCTCAGTGGTAGAGCACGTGCTTAGCACATTTGAGGCACTGGGTTCGATCCTTAGCACCACATAAAAATAAACAAAATATAGGCATACTGCCCATCTACAACTCCAAAAAAAAAAAAGGTTAACAGGAAAAACTAATTCAGTATGCATGACTCTGTATGCACCTTATAAAAAAAAGAGTTTAAAATTAATTCAATAAAAAATTCAAACAGGTATCCCTGTACAGCAAAATGTAAGTGAATTTAAAAACAAATCTAAATGTTTTTACTTTTTTCCCCTAGGATTAATGATTTTATATATGGAAAATGGAGAACTCAAAACAGTTATCTATGACTCCAAGATTCACATAAAATGATCATACTGCTTTAAATATGGCTCAATAATGAAGTTATTGAAGGAAAATATTCATGTTTCTAAAACTCAAATTTCACTTGAGATTTATAAGCAAATTACTTTTTACTAGTTCTAAATTTAAAAGCCCGATGGGTACAACTGTAAAAAGTTTAGCTTACGCACAAAAAAAAGCGTAGGATTATCTTAATTATAAATGAGAGATACTCTTGACTATCTATTTAGAATTAATATCTAATTTTGCTATATTAATAATATATTTTACTTTTAAATTCATTTGTAAAGTGTGTGAAATCAAGAGACACTGACAATTAAAAAAACAATTCACCACATAATAATTCCTTAGAAAATGACTACCTGAGATGGGCCAATAACTTAAAATCTACCAAGTACTTTCCTAATTTCTATTTTTGTACCCAATATATATCTTTGCAGTGAAAATGTAACTGTGCCCTAGATTTTCATATCAATTCAGAAGAGTAAGTACGAATAAGTCACACACTGCACAGCAAAGTATACATATACATTTCTTGTTTTCACTATTTTTCATTATAATTCCTGAAAAATATCAGCCATGTTTATACCACTAACAACTGGTAAAAAAGTTACTATCTCTTTTTCTTTTTTCTTTTATCTTAGTTGTTGATGGACTTTTATTTTTTTTGCTTATTTATATGTGGTGCTGGGAATCGAACCCGGTGCCTCACATGTATGAGGCAAGCGCTGTACAGCTGAGCTACAACTCCAGCCCCTCTTTTTCAATTTCTATAGATTATCAACTCTAAAGTTCAAAACAAGTACTCTTTCATTTATCCCAACCAAAACAACTTTTTCAGAAAACTGAATGCTACATATTTTTTTATGGGTCCTAAATCTGAATAATTACATAATTCCGTCAGAGTGGTTATGGATATTAATTTATACACATACCATCTTCAGAAACAAAATTATTATATAGTCTAGACAAGTTTAAACAAAATTTTTTCTTACATGACAATAGTTAGAACAAATTTTATAAAATAAATGGCTTAATTTAAGAATACTATAAGAAGCATTTTAAAAGATGCTCTGAGGCTCTATGAAATTGTATTTTTAAAGAAAATCATTTAGGGGAAGGGGCTGTAACTCAGTGGTAAAGCACTTGCCTCACATGTGTGAGGCACTGGGTTCAATCCTCAGCACCACATAAAATAAATAAAGATATTGTGTGTCCATCAACAACTAAAAAAATTTTTAAAAAAAGGAAATCATTTAGTAATCCTATACTTTAAAATATTTTATAAGTACATGTGATATTAAAATACATAATTATAAGCTAAAACAATCCAATAATTTAAACATAATTTTGTTAAAGGAAAAAAATAAGCTTCTCAACAGAAAATCTCAAGAGTCTCGTGAACTTTGATTTCTGAAAGGAAGACCTAAGAGGAAAAATGCACACTATTTTTTTCCCATAATACAACTAAGGAGTCAAAGGTGCTCAGGCATTCAAATTTCAAGCCCATCAACATACCAGGGACTCTCCCGTCAGTGACTTGGCAAGGATGGTGGATACAGGCTGGAGCTTTCCTTTCAGCTGCATGCAGCAAAGCACCGTCCGAAAGGCACCCTCTCCCTTGGCCAGTCCTTCTCCCAGCACTGCCATCAAAGAATAGCATCATTAACAATGTGGCGTTTGATACACATTTTAATTATAATGTTAACACAAGCATGGCTTCCATACATGAAAGAATAACTACAAATACATGATGAAAACATTGGTGTTTCACATCTGTCCAAGACATGAAGGACAGAGAAAACTTATGCCAATGAACATATTAAACCATAACCTATAGCCAATTACAATCACAACAAAATCATGGGGAGAACTGGAGTCCTCCAATACGCAGCTAGATTGGAGGAAAAGCTCATGTTCTATGGTACAGTAGGATAACTACTTCTGGCTACAACTAATTGTACATTTCAAAATAGCTATTAGAGAGGATTTGTAATATTTCCAATACAAAGAAATATAAATGTTTTAAGTAACAGATTGTAGGGATGGCCTTAGGCCTTAGCCTAAGCAACTCCATTTTAAAACTCCACTTTGAAATCTGCAGTCTCACCAGGAATGCCTCCAATATTATCATCATCAGGCATAGCCCCAACATAAACAAATCACTTCTCCCTTATCACTACCCTGATAAGCTCAGAGTGAAGTCTCTGTCATGTTGCCCTCACCCCAATAAGGGGGAGAAGCAAAAAAATCAGGATGGAGACCACCAGATCAGATGTTTTAACCCCAGGGCATATAACATCACTGAGAAATACAATGGCAGCTGATAGGGACTGAAAGAGTGGTCAGAAGCCCCAAAATTTAGTATAAATGATGGAGCAAATGAACAGACATTCAGCCAGCCAACAGTGATGCCCTCATGCTGGAGAGCCTGATGAGGACCTGCACTGACATCCCAACTCTTCTCATCGTTTGCCTGATCCTCTGCATCTTCCTCACTGCTCTCAAACTCTACAGCCACATCTTGACCCTGTAATAACTGCAACTTATCCCTACAACCCTCTCCTCAACCAGCCATCAGCTCCACCCCAGGAGAAGTCTGCCTTGGTTCCTGACATGATCACTGTGGTCTGAGTAAGTGTGCACTTGCTGGACTTAGAGCCAAAGGCTTGAAACTTTAGATCTGGCACTTGAGCTTAGCATGCAGAGGGAATGTCTGTCATGAGCCTGTCATGATTAAGAGTGTTTGCAGTGTTTGCTGTGGATTGATTGTGTCTACTGCAGTGCCTAACATTAAGGATTGTCATTTTCTTGATTGAGAACCTATAGAGTGAAATCGTATTGAGTGATTTGAGTGAATAAAGCATTGAAAGGGCAGAAGCACATGGACATTCTTTATTTCTCCCCCTCGACTGTATAAGTCACATAGCGACACAGGTATACACAGGGTAAACACAGGTATACCCTGCTATGATCATGTTATCCATGTCTTGAAATAATAACATTGTACCTTATAATATGTGCACTGTCAATTAAAAACAAACAAACAAAAAACTACATGGTCAATTTTTTTTAAAGGCTCTAGGCAGGCTTGGTGGAAAATGCCTGTAGTCCCATCTATTCCAGGAGGCTAAAGAGAGGATAATCTGAGCCCACGATTTTGAGACAAGCCTGAGCAACAAAGTGAGACACTGTCTCTACAGAAAGAAAAAAGTGGGCTAGGTTGTAGCTCAGTGGTGGAGCGTTTACCTAGCACATTTAAGGCACTGGGTTCAATTCTCAGTACCACATAAAAATAAATACATAAAACAAAGGTATTGTGTCCATCTACAACTAAAAATATATATATTAAAAAAAAAGAGAGAGAAAAGTGCTCCAGTGAAAAATATTGTTCAACCTATGATTTCTGGCTACTTAAGAGCTTTTAAAACTACAGATTTATTAGCTAAATAAAATTCTCATATTTTTGACAGTGACAAAAGATTTTTTGGCATTAAAATGCACAAGAATAGAAACTGCAAATGTCAACATTAGATATTCCCAAGCAATTAAGAATTAGCCTTTACCAAAACCAGCAAGTTAACTAGGAATCTAATAGTGCAATGGTCATGAAAAAAGCTACCCAAATTGTTTGCAAATCTGTGTAGATTTAGTTACTACAATCACAAGGCTCACACATTTCTAACATATGCCTTGTCATTGGAGATTATTTCTCACTGCAACTACTAATGGTTCAAATAATAGGGCAATCTTTATCTTTACTACAATCTTTACTACAAAATCCAAGAGTCCATTATTAGTTTGTACATTCTTTAGCTTTCTTTGTAAAAAAAATAATAATAATAATAATTTGCTGAAAAGAAAATATTTTGGAAATTGTATTTTTTTCCAAATTATTTTCAAAGTAATGTTCCCTTTAAATATTAGTAGAAGACCACACTGTATAAAGTCCACTGGACCCAGTGCAATGGCACATGCCTATTAATTCCAGCAGCTTGGGAGGCTAAGGCAGGAGGATAACAAGTTCAAGACCAGCCTCAGCAAATTAACAAGACTCTGTTTCAAAAATAAGAAAATAAAAAGGGCTGACAATAAAGTGCAGTGGTAAAGCTCCCCTGGATTTGATCTCCACTGCCACAGTAAAATTCCTTGCCAAAAACTGGGTGAGGTGGCACACATCTGTAATACCCGCAACTTAGGAGGCTAAGGCAGGAGGATCGTAAATTCAAGGCCAGTTTCAGAAACTTAGTGAGACCCAATTTCAAAAATAAAAAATAAGGCTGGGTTTGTGGCTCAGTGGTACAGCACTTGTCTGGTAAGCATGAGGCACTGAGTTTGATCCTCAGCACCACATAAAAATAAATAAATAAAATGATGGTATTATGTTCTTATATAACTAAAAAAATATTTTTAAATAATAATAAAAATATTAAAAGGGCTGGGTATAGCACCCCTAGGTTCAATACCCAATAGCAAAAAAAAAAAAAAAAATTTTCTTGCAGAAAAATTCTCTTCCCACCAAATATGTGTGGATTCTACTTTAAGCTGGTCTCAGACTGAATTGCCTCTTTCTGACCACTAGGAGTTATAAAAGAGGAAGTGTGCACTCCTTACACCTCAGCTGTGTTTTTGCATTCAAGTCCCTTATCCCCTTTCACTCTGAACTTTTGGAATATTTTCTAACATCTGAAATATGTCTTAACTGAAATGCTTTGTACTAAAACTTAAGTAATATAAAAGAAGTATCCATTCAAAAAAACAAATAGCCTTGGTTACAGTTAGATAGACTTGGCTATTCACAAGGGAAAAAAAATAACAATTAAAATGCAATTCCTTTTGGGGACTGAGGCTGTGGCACAGTGGTAGAGCACTCGCCTAGCACGTGCAAGGCGCTGGGTTCAATCCTCAGCACCACATAAAAATAAAAAATATTGAATGTTATTCTTTATTATTCAGCAACAAGACCCATATTAGGTAATTTCTTTCCTAAGTTCTTTCCAAAGTTTCTTATTGAAAAGCTTAGCCTATTAAGGCATTTTTCCAAAAATTCTCAAAAGAAATTTTTTAATTATCAGAAAAACTAAATCCTTTAGTTATTAACAAAGTGAAATTAGTCACTGCTTAGGTATAATCACTCTCAAAATTGAAATTATTTCCCTTCCTAAAAATCACCCATTTGATTTTTTTTATAATGATTCCATTCACCACAAACATAAAAGTATACATATGGGGAAAAGGACAAAAGTATATAAACAGACTCCAAAAGAGTGGAAGGCCTAAATCAAAGTTATTAACTAACTGAAGGTTAAAATGGCCATCTGTTTCAAGTATCAAAAAGTGTAATACAAATCAAATAAGAACAGTGGCAAATACCAGTATCTCACCAAGTGTCCTTGTTGCTAATTTTTTGTTACATAATTCTTGTCTACCTCATCCCTTTCCCTTGTCTTCTCCTTTCTTCTACCTGTAAACAGATGCTTTTGTATATGTGGGTTATAGCTTTTGTGCAGTTGATGTCCTTCCTACCAAGGTCTTTTGCAGATAAAAATGTTTCCTTTAAAAGGTGCATACAAGCCAGGCCCGGTAGCACATGCCTGTAATCCCAGCAGCTCGGGAAGCTGAGGCAGGAGGATCACCAGTTCAAAGCCAGCCTCAGCAAAAGCGAGGTGCTAAGCAACTCAGTGAGACCCTGTCTCTAAATAAAATCCAAACTAGGGCTGGGGATGCGGCTCAGTAGTTGAGTGCCCCTGAGTTCAATCCCTGGTACCAAAAAAAAAAAAAAAAGCATATAGGAAAACTGGGGATGTAGCAAAGTGGTAGAGAACTGCCTAGCATCCACAAAGCCCTAGGGGCCGGGGGGAAGAAATGCATAGGAAAATAAAAAGCCCTAACACTATTAAAAATTAGGTATTTATTACCTAGACCTGTTCTAAGTGTTTAGCTTTAAACACCTTAACAAACTTTTTTGTAAATCTCTATTACCCTCCTCTTTTCAGTATTTGTTCTTTAATCTGTCACAAAAGTCTTCATGATCTCACAGCCCCCTTGGGTGTACTGTAAATTTTAATGTTAAAATCTGTTTATTTTTGGAAGTCCCCTTTTCTTCACCTGCAGGTCACTAGGAAGACTCTTGGGTGCCTTCTTGCTGTATGTTTTCATTCTATAGAAACACAGGTCATTTCTTCTGTCTTATTTTCAGTGCTCCAGTTTAAACATTAACACTAATTCTTTTAGTGTTCCTCAATTTCTTCATTGTATAAAATAATCACAAACTAAAACACTGACCACACAAGCATAAAAACAACTGAAATCTGGTTCCATAGAATATCATGAAAGGATTTTATTTCATTGCCATGCTTGAATAAACTTTTTACTTACAGCACTGTTAAAATGATATTTGTAACTGTAGCCTATGTGTGCATGAGAGAGAAAAAGAGAACTGGCTGCTTAGAGTGCTTCTGACTTCTTCATAAGGAACCTAACTTCACAGATTCATTTTCTGTGTGATTATAGCAAAGTTAACCTCTGGTAACTGTTCAGCAACTGGATTAAGACGGTTTTTCTGTAGAACAAAATCTATTTAACTGTATTTTTCTATCTTAAAACTCCTTGGAGCTGGGGTTGTAACTCAGCAGTAGAGTGC